CTTTGCAGAACTTTCCATTTCCTTCAAAGCCAGCAACGCACACACACTCATAGTACAACAGGGGCATATGTCTTGCACAATAGGCATGTGTGTGACATCCATCGGGACACAGTGCATCATCCGTTAGCTGCCAAGGATTTGTCACTATTAAAAAAAAAGAGAGAAGCGGAGACAAGTCACATAACCTTTGGAGGGTGCTATTGATATGAAGCAGGACAGGTGACACAATATTACTGGGTTTTATTGTGCCCTGACCAAGTAGGTGAGGCAAGATGGCTTATCTGATTGACTGAATGACGAGTTTTTAAACAAAAACTGAAGAAATTTAGCTTTGCTTTTTGGGGTTTTATTTTTTCAAAATAAATACTTTTTACTTATACTATTCAGGTTTCATATAAAGAAAATATTTCTGAGGCCTATTTTAATTGGTTTAATATATTTCTCAGTTTATCTCAGTAGTAAGAACATTGGACCCAAAAGTTAGAGGTTGTTTCACTGTTTGTTGCTGCAGACATTAGTTAATCTAATCTCACCAATCAAAAAGCAATCTATTACTTCTAAAAAGTGATAGACATGGTTCAGGAGCTAAGAATAACAACTAAGATGACAATATAGCTAAAGATTTTTGAAATTTCTGGTTGGTTAGTCAAATAACTTATGTGCACATAACATAGCTGTTATCAGTTTGGAAAATGTTGGATCGGCATAACAAGTTCAAATTCAGACTGAAGTCATTGTGAACATTTTTGTACAAAAACTTTTGGAAAAGATATGGATCGATATCTTCTCCCCCCAGTTATAGGTTTAATAGCAGGAAAACTGAACTCTCTAACCTTAGTTGGCAACTAGTCTAATAGAAGGATAACTCTATAGAAATCACAGTAGCAACACTAGCATTTTACGATTGCTGCCCAATACTTCAAAGGAGTCTAATGGTACTAAGAAAAAGGAGGAGAGGGAGTGCCATGACTGAGGAGATTATTATGATGCCATACTGTGTTCCTCAGGCATCTTGAGTACAAGCAGGATTAATTACCAGCAACTGCTTCTTTTTTCAAGCAACACATGGTTTTGACAGTTGGGAAGAAGTTCTCTACTTCTACAACCATTATCATTTGAAAATGATGAGACCTTTGTCAAAAACATCTGGTGTTGGAGCAAGATCAGTGTTCTTGCCTTTACCTAAAGCAGTAGTTTAAAGTGAAAACCTGAAGCCTCAGCCAAAATTTGAACTCAGTTTACTGAACTCAGTTTCAATTCTGTTGGTAAGCATTATAGTATGTCGAGACTATAATATCTTGAGTCTATAAATTTGGCTACAGCAGCTTGAGTTTATAATTCTGGCTACAGCATTTGGAGTCTATCATTTTGGCCCTACCACCTTGAGCCTATAACTCTGACTATGAGATCTTGAATTTATAAATTTGGCTATAGCAACTTCAGCCTATAATTTCAGTTATAATTTTGGCTGTTGCATCTGGAACCTATAATTTATCTATAGCATCTTGACTCTCTGATATTTGTGATAGCATATGGAGCCTATCACTTTGGCTATAGCATCATGAACTTATAATTTATCAATAGCATCTTGAACCCATAATTTTGGCCATAGCATCTTGAACCTATAATTTTGGCCATAGCATCTTGAACCCATAATTTTGGCTGTAGCATCTTGAACCCATAATTTGGGTATTTATTTACACTGTTTACATTCAAACTCATGACCCCATCTTTCGATCCCTTTCCCTTTGACCTTCTTCAGGTGTCTCTCAGTCTGGGTAACCTTCAGAGAATTTCAAACTGAGCCCTTTATTTAATCTATGATCATGTTCTTTTTTAGTACCACTAGTTATTGCTTACTCAGTTTTTGAGGAGGGTAAGTCTGCACTACCCAACCCAGGGATTGAACTCCCAAATACTATGTCACTAAATTCAGCAAACTAATGCTTCTGTCCGGTAGGCTATTGACCCTGAGCTGGGTGGTAGACTCAGTGAAAACGGAGTGGGCAATAAATGAGTAGTACTTAATAAGAACAAGATGAGATATCCCTAGGCATAGACAGCAGAACAAACTGCCCTTGTAGATTAAATAAAGGGATCAGTTCAAAATTGAACAGTTATTTCCCACCCTGGCACAACAGCCTAGTGGATTAAAGTGTTAGTTAATGAATTTCTTTGACAGTTACCCAGATCAACATATACGTGAAAAAGGATAGAGGACACAATGACCCAAAACACTGCAATAATAACAACAAAGATGATTGATTGATTTGTATATTATGGCTTATCAACCTTTTGCAGGTTATTTAAAGCTAAGAAATATTTTTTTTAGATTGTAAGACTTTTATGGAGATAATAATGATTTACTGATACAAGTCCTACTAGTTAACCCATAGCTGATGGGGGAGAAGAAGTGGATTAATATCTTTTCCAAAGTGAATATAACAAACCCAACTGGAATTGAAACTTTACTCTCTGATTTCCAATTCTGAGCCATTATTCATTGCACCACCAGCACATCCAAGTTTACAGCACATTATATTCCTATGCTATCAACCATCTAGGTACTGACCAGGTTTGACATTGCTTAACTTCATTGATTGTATGAGAACCAGTGTTTAAAAGTTTTATGGTTGTAAACCAAAAACAAAGACGAGGATATTAGTTTGAATGTAAATAAAATAATGAAAATTCTTCATTCCAGAAATTCAGACTGAAACTATTAGTTTCGTTTAACTATTTTGATTTTAGTTAAAGATTTACTTTTCGCTGTTGAAGTTAATGAATTAAAGTATTTTTTCTACTAAACAATTTTTATATGAAACAGACAACCAAATATATTTTTCTTTACAAATATTATAATTCTTGTGATATTCATTGCATATGTATATTTTTCTTTTGATTATTAGAAATGTTATATTTTTATGTCAGAGTGACATCTTTATGTTGTTAACAGCTGTAATTTTTTTAATAACCTGAGCTACCTTAAATTTAAATGTTCAAAGGTATAGAAAATTGAAATTTGAAAAATTGCATTTACTGTGTTTATGTATTTTAGCATATTTATCAACTAAACATAAGTGAATATTTAAGAATCTCAAAGTGATAAATGATACACTAAATTCCTATAAATGGAGGCAAATAAATTCTTTGACAAGAAAATTGGTTACCAAACAGATTTAAATGTAATCATGACACTATTTTAAATACCAAAAAATAGTTCCATGGAATTTAACTTCTTTAAATACTCCTCAAAATTAATGATTCCAAGTATTAATAAGCTATTTAGTTTTCAATAAGTGGTACTACTTAAATTAACAGGCTAGAATATATTTTTGACAATTTTTGTAGATTACATTATTTACATTATTTGGACTATTGTCCTCATCATATTTATTACAACGTTTCGGCTATTGTACACTCCAGCCTTCTTCAGGTGGTTGGAATGTTGAACTGAACCCTTTATCCATAGCACAGTGGATAAAAGCGTTAGTTAGATCCAGTGACAGAACTCAAAGAGTGTGAGTTCAATACCCGGTTAAGGCAGTGGAGAACTTTCAGAGGGAAATTAACAGGAGATAACTGATAACTGACATCCATTAAAAATGGTACATGGAACTAGAACAGTCTACCACAGTGAGCAAAATAAAGGGTTCAGTTTAACATTCCAACCACCTGAAGAAGGCTGGAGTGTACAACAGCCAAAACGTAATAAATATGGCGACAAAGATGAGGACAATAGTCCAAATAATGTAAATAATGCACATAATACCTCATCTCAGAAATATAGACAGATACTTTTGTAGATTAGCTTTAATAAGAACTTTCACTACCTACATCTATGAGAATAAAAAAAATTATTGATCTTTTATTACTTTAAAAGGACAGTCTGGTTCATAATAAATATACTGTCTCAAATAGATTTCTGAGTTCTTAAAGAGTTAGCTGTACTTTGTTGTTTTTTACAAAAATCAAGTTTGACACTGTTTTTATATCACTGATAACTGCATAATAGTGCATTTTGGGAAAAAGGAAACATCAGTCTTATGAATTTATCACTGATAAAAGTTGAGTTTCAAACTTCACATTTTTAATTAATCTAATCTAAAAAAATTATTCTGACAAAAATTCTTCCCTATTTTTTATAAGAAGACTATTTAATTTAAGTAGTGCCCAATGGGTTTATCTTTCACTGTGTTTTTACTTACAAATTTCATGCACTAAATGTAACAACTATTTTGAGATAGAAATAGCAATAAACATTAACTGTATGATTTCATATATGGTACCAAAGATGTATGGGTAGAGTAATCAGTAACAGTGCAGAAGGGACGTTCAGTGAGCTGAGTTCAAATTTCAGGCTAGTCTGTTGCATTCACTTTTGCACAAGTGTCATTGAGAAAGGCATGAATCCATTTCTTTTCCCCATCAGTTTTGGATTAAATAGCAAGGTACACTGAGTTCTCTAGCATGAGTGGCACACAGTCTTGGAGAAGTGCTACTCAAAATTCAAAACCACAGAGAAGGCAATAAGGAATCACTGTCTTCCCCTAGAAATCATGGCAATGAATAAAAAAAAGCAATCTGTGGAGAAAAATGATTGCTTACATCCTAATGGGATATCCCATAAAAAGAAAACAAAAAATATGTAGACCTCATCATTCCAGACCAATGTTCTTATAACTGACCTATTTCAGAAACAATATTCATTTATTTTTTTTTTTATCTTTTGATTAGAATACAGAAAAGTTGATTAAAAATGAAAAATATCATAAACATTACAACCAATATTAGACTTATTACAAAGAATGTTTATAAAATTTATTACATTAAAAAGAAATTGTTTTATTTTTATTCCCAGCAGTGGAGAGTGAGGGAAGAGTTTTATTTTAAAATTATTCTTGGGACAAGAACACAATGTCTATTTACCTCTTTAAATATTGCATTTTGAAGTTTTATTCTGTTCAATAACCCAATAATTTCTGACAATTACTTGTCAATGATTATTTGTTTAGAAATGATCTGATATAACGAAAAATAAATATTTGTATAACACAACAGGTTATCTTTCTAGCCTGCTTAATTTCATGGAGCAAAGAAAAGATATAATTTTTAAGACATGCAATGCATTTGCTTTTCATTCA